CTCTGCAAGAAGTCAAATGAGTTTATCCACATCCTAGCAGTCTGCCCCTTGTTTTGTGTATGTTAACGAAGATCCTGTAGCAGCAGGTTGGTCTAGTGGGTTTCTGTGGCTAGGTTTTGGTAGTGGGAGGAGCTACAGGGGTGGCTTCTGTTAGAAGCTGCTAGAAGTTTTCCCCCATCTGGTGGAGCCAATGCCAGCCAGCTCCAGGACGAACTTCCTGCTGCTGGTCAAGGCTGAGCCAATTGGAAGTAATGATAATGATTCTGTTCTAACATGTTTAAGAAAAGAAGGTTGTTGAGCAGATGAAAATTCCAGCCAGGGAAGAGTGGAGTGAGAACATGGGAACAACAATGTAGACATCAAGGTCAGTGCAGAATGAGGGGGCGGACGTGCTCCAGGCACCGGAGCTGGGCCCATGGAGGACCATCAGGGTGCAGAGACCCACCTGCAGCCCATGGAGGAACCCATGCTGGAGCAGGTGGATGCATGAAGGAGGCTGTGACCACGCAGGAGGCCCAGGATGGAGCAGGGTCCTGCTGGAGACCTGCAGCCCGTGGAGAGAGAAGCCCACGCTGGAGCAGGCTTTTCCTGGGTAAGACTTGCAGCCCCTGTGGGGGACCCACACCAGTACAGCTCATTTGTGATGGACTGAACCCCATGGAGGAGTGACCCATGGGACAGTAGCTTGGGAAGAACTGTTGCCTGTGGGATGGACTCACACCGGAGAGGTCTATCAAAGACTGTCTCCCGTGGGACAGACCCCATGGGAGCAGGGAAGGACTCCTCTCCCTGAGCAGTGGCCAAAACAACAACTGACCGTAACCCCCATTCCCCATCCCCCTGCACTGCTGAGAGGGAGGAGGGAGAACATGGAAGGAAGGAGGGGTGGGGGGGAGGTGTTTTTTAAGATTATTTTCCTCTCACTCTTTTGCTCTGACCCTGTTTAATTCAGTTAATACCCCCACTTTGAGTCTGTTTTGCCCATGATGGTGATAAGTAAGTGACCTCTCCCAGCTCTTATCTTAACCCATGAATCCTTTGCCATTTTTTTTTTTTCTCTCCTCTGTCCAGTTGCAGAGGAGAGTGAGAGAGCAGGTGTAGTGAGTACCTGGCATCCAGCCAGGGACAACGCACTACAGTTGGCATTAACACAGGTGAGCTGTTCTTCACCACATAGATCAATTGCTGCCAAGTTGCACAAGTCCAGTGGCAGTGCTTGCGAGTTGTGCTAGCTACAAGAGGAAATAGGAAGTCCTTAAGCAAATTTGATCTGGAGGTTAGCCTGAGGGGAGAGCAGCATTTTGATTTTCTGAACAGTTGTAGGGTTCTGAGATTCAGCTTTCATGGGAAGAATATCTGAACCATCATATTTCTAAGTGAATGAGACCTACTCACACTAACATCAGACTCTCTGTTAGATACATGTGACTCCCTCAGCAATGGTGTTTCAAGGTTCAGACCTGCCCAAAGCAGGAATAACTAAATGCAATCCCCCATCCTTTCTCTCTGAACTAGTAAAACTTACTCGATTATATAATTTGCTTGACCTAGAATTTTGGATTTGGGAAGTTCATCTGTAGTTTAGGAGATTTGTATTCTTTACCTTGACTGATTCAGACTGAATCTCACCTATTTGAATTGCTTGAGAACTCTGTACCCTAACAATTTCACTTTTTTTTAAAATAACAGTGATCATCCAAATTCTTTTAGTCTGTTCAACCCAGTGGCTAACACTGAACAGAAATAAAGCAAGCCATCCTCAAGGAGAGTGCTTACACTTGCATCAGTTCTGATAAGTCAAACCACATATTTATGCAAACAGTCATTCCTGAAATATACATAGGAAATTAAATTGTTCACCCAAGCTACTAATAATTGTGGAGGAACAGCAAAGGGCACCCTGGTCAACTATTGAATATGGAACTATGTGAAGTGGTCATTATCTGTCCTGAGATAAAGTTGATGGAGCTACCTAGAGTATAACTCTCAAAGAGAGCCAGCCTAACCCCTCCATTCTGCAGTACTACCTCAGCTTCAGTTGTGATGTTGTTCTCTAAAACCTAGTAGTAGTCTGTAACCCAGGTAATTAAGCCTTCCTAAGAGCAAATGTATGTTCTCTTTTCCTGGTTCTGCTGCATGCTTCACTTGTTATAACCCATTTTAACAGCCCTTTCAGCTGCATTTAATCTTTTGAGAAGTCAGATTGATTTTTATTCTGGCTACTAGACAATTGCTCAAGATCATACATTATGGACAGTCCCTCACTGTCATCTAAGCCACTGCTGTAGTGGTGGCTGTTTTGTAACATAAAAGCCCAGCTGTCTGCTGCTCTGTGATAAGTGCTAAAAATGGTACATTGCAATCCAAGCTGCTGTAGCATTATAGCCAAAAGAGGATTACAGATGGGATGGCTGCTGTAAGAAGAGGCTATATACAGTTGCACATATGCACTCCGGTGATTCTTATCATGGGAGTGGAGAACGGCATTTTCACTCTTAAGAAATATTTCTCTCCAGAGTGTACTACTGCTACCTTGCTGCCAATTATTGTTTCCTGGCAATGAACAGAGACCATATGCTTTTAGGCCATGACATTTGATTAATGACTCTAATACAGAGTCACCTGAGGAAAGAGTGGTGCCATTAACATGACCAAAAAGGAGTCAATAGCTGTAGCATTGTCTCTTCACAATATTTTGTGAGAAAGTGAGGGAAGGAAGGGAAATAAAATAGAAAGGAATTAGAGCAGGAGAATAATGATCATAGTTCTCTTTACATAGCTCCCCAGAGGTGAGGCATTTGACAGCTTTTGTATGGACGAGGCTATTCCATTCCCCCACACAACAGCCTCCATCTGGTTATATATCACTGAAGTAGACTGAATCGCTGCAATGAGAAGATGACATCCATATGCAAACCTAGGGACATCTGAACAGAAACATTTGTAATCTTGTAACTTGAACCTCAGACAAGGCTGTAAATACAATTCTGCTCATGGAAGACATTCAGAAGACCATGATAGTCTTGAAGGGCTTGGGGCTGATGTACAGTCCTGCTACTAGCTCATGACCTGATCTTTCTGGTAGTTTTAACAACTCAGCTTTAACAACCCAACAAGTTGCAGAAGTAAATAGCAGCAAGAATAATTAGCATCTTTATGTAGCAGACTTAATAAATGTAAAATAAGAAACATGTAAGCATGAATGTAGAAGTTTGAATTATTAATTGAGTTTGATAAATACAGACCAGAAATAACTTGGTCTGTTAAACCTGGAGAAGAGGAGACTGAGAGGAGACCTCATTGCAGTCTACAACTTCCTTGTGAGAGCAAGAGGAGGGGCAGACACTGATCTCTTCTCTGTGGTGACCAGTGATAGAACCTGAGGAATGGCCTCCAGTTGTGCCAAGGAAGGCTTCGGTTGGGTATTAGGAAAAGGTTCTTCATCCAGAGGGGGGTTAGTTCTGTAGGGATAGGTACAGTTTCAGAAGAATTTGTGACAGAAAGCTAGAACTCGATTTCCCTTCAGAAGACTGTAAAATGCCTTCTCAAATGGGTTGGATGTTTTTTTTCCCCTTCCTTCTGCATTTCCGAGTAAGTTGCAGGGAGAAGCTGTGAGCAAGGGATCTCCCTGGTATGCCGAGAGATAAGGTTTGTAGACATGTACAAGGCCTCCTGGGGCCACCGAGGGTAGGGTAGGAGAGAGAGAAAATACAAAAAGCCTTGGAGAAGGCGGGGCACGACCTTTTGCCTCTGGTGGCCAAGTGCATGCAGCATCCCTGATAAGTGGTCTTGCACCTGAAAGAAAGCTTTTTGTAATCCTTCCACTGCTTTGGCCTTCTTGGGAAGAATACCTGAGTATGTTTTACCTTAGAGGTACTGGAAGGGGCTACTCCAGGAAGTGGCCACAGCACCAAGGCTGCCAGAGTTCAAGAAGGATTGGCATGATACTCTCAGGCACATGCTGTGACTCTTGGGGATGGTCCTGGGCAGGGCTAAGGCTTGGACTCGGGGATCCTTGGGGGTCCCTTCCAACTCAGCACATTCTGTGGGATTCCGGGTGATGTCGTTGCCCCCAAGCCCTGAACAGGAGGTGCCGCAGTTCCGCCTCAGTGGTGGCTCTGCCCCCTCAGCAGCTCCAGGGGTACCCTGCTCCAGGGGAGCCAGCAGCTCTTGGAGCCCACCAGCTCCAGGGTTGCCCTCAGGGCTCATCACCCTCTCACACATAGCTCAGCCACGGGATCCACTCGGCTCACAGACACATCCCTGCACGTATCACAAAGGCTCTGGCAACGCAGTGGGAGCTGCTACACAAACCTGCAGTTGCCCAGGTTTCGGGCTGCAGGGAGTGCCAGAGTGCTGGTGCTGGTGTTGGACGGCAGCAGAGGCCGCAGCTGTGGAGGTGTGACCAGGTGGGAGATCTGCTCAGCCTGCTGGTGGAGCTGAGAGAGGAGCTAGAAAGGTTCAAAAGTGTCAGGCAGGAGGAGATGCACTGGTGGAGCCCTGCTCTGGCCTCCCTGAGACAGTAGCAGTCACCCGAGAAAACAAAAGATCAAGAGTGTCCCGCATCCTTCCCCCACAAGGCTGCAGGAAGTAGATGAAAAGAAAGGGGTGAATGGAGGCCTCCTGCTGGGGACAGGAGGCAAAAGCCCTCCTTCACAGTCACAGACTGCTTGGTGTTGGAAGGCGCCCTAAAGACCATGGAGTTGCAACTGCCTGCACAAAGGAATTCCCAGAGGAATGCCCAAAGTCCCAAGGTCCGCAAAAACTCCCGGTATTTTTGAAGTAAATTCCGTACTTGGCATGGGTGGTGGTATGTTAGTGCCTGAGCAGCTGTATAAGCATACAGCACTGGGCTTTGGGAAAAGGGGTAGGGTGCAAGGAAAGAGAGGAATTAAAGAGGAGAGGGAGAGACAGAGAGAAAAAGGAGAGAGAACTCCCCAGGCAGCCCCAGCCCCAGCCTGGCAGTATGAGAAGCAGAAAAGGCCTTGACACTGGAGAAGCTCTGCTCAATCTTTCTTTTTATTTTCAAGTTTGAAGCAGAAAGGTAGAAAAATAGAACCCCATGTTGAGTAGATGAAGAATATTTAACCCTATACTGACTACCTATCTTAGCCTAACTCTACTCCAAAATAAACGACCCCTTGGCAAAGCACTAAGTTAAAATCCAACTCCCTACGAATCTAAGGCCATACTAAGCCAAACTCTACACAAGCCTGAAACAGCCCTTGGAAAAGCAAAAAATGGAAAATCTAACCCCATACTTAATCTAGGCCTATCCTACTCTAAAACTACATAAGATAAGGGCTGCGCCTGCCTATTCCAGGACCAGGAAGGTGCCCGGGCGGCCCTGCTGCAGTGCCAAGAGCAGCACAGCGCAGAGCCGCACCTGGCCGGGGCCGGTCAGCAGGAGCCTGCAGGAGCGGGAGGAGGGCAGCAGCCGGAGCTGCCAGTCGTGCCACTGAGGCAAACGCTCCCAGGCCGATTCCACCAGTCTGGGCAGCCAGCCGGCGACCTTCTGCACCTCCAAGTGGGAGTCTGTGCAGAGGGTGCGCACGAGGGGCGAGTGCTGATGGTTGTAGGTGGGGTGGACAAAGCAGAAGATGTTCCCCGCCGTCCTGGAACACGAGCACTCCAGCAGCACACGGATGGAGTGTGGCACGTCCATGGCCTCGGGCAGCTGCAGCCGGAAAGAGTGCCAGGGGGGTGGCCTGAGGAAGAGCACCAGCTGGTAGACGGTGCAGTCCCCCAGCTCACGCCAGGACTCCATGCAGGTGCCCTGCTGCCCAGTGGCCAGGTGCAGCTCTGGCATGAAGGTGTTCTGGGACAGCACTTGGCACACCTCCAGGAGGTCCCGCAGCAGCTTCTTCAGGGTCCGGCCCATGAAGGGCAGGTCCTGCAGCGGTGACAGGCTGAGCGCTGCAAAAGGCCCGCCAGCAGCGGCTGCTGCGCTGAGCTCTTCTTGCTCACGGCGCCGGCGAGAGGCCTCCTCCCTTTGCCAGGCCAGCCAGCCCAGCACAGCTGCTGCAGCCAGCCAAAAGAGCCAGTGCTGCAAGATCCAAAGGAGTGGAACATCTTCCAGGGCCCTCCTCCACTCGACTTCCTCCCACAGCTCCGTCATCTGGTCCTCTAGAAAAATCTGCCGTTTCTTCATCCACTGCACAGCGACCGCATCGCTCTGGGGATCCTGTGTCCGCTTGGGCAGGATGGCCAGCACAGCCAGGAGGAGCACAGTTGCTGAATCCATGGCCTGCAGGAGATGAGAGACAAGTTTCTCCAGCGGCTCGGGGTGGGAGGGAGCACGGGGATCAAGGCTTGAAGGGAACGCAGCCCCTGGCTGCAGACGGCACAGGGCCCACCCTGCCCCAGCCGGGACCCTCCTTGTCAGGCCCTGGCTGGGCTGTGCCCCGGCAAAAGGCAAGAGACAGCCGAGCAGAGTCTCCCCTGGCCCCATCCCTGCCACACCACAGCGTCCCCTGGAGCCGGGGGCAGCCGGCCCATCCCCAAAGGCTCTTTGGGCACTTGCCAACACAGAGAGCCCTGAGCACCTGTGTGCCAGGCCCCAGGGGCACAACTCGGCCCTGCCGGGAGGGACTCAGCTTTGGCTCAGGGTTACAACCACCCCCCCTGGGCATCTCCCCCCTCCCCCATCCATCCCAGCCTTCCCCCTGCATCTGCACTCACTGATCGCCCAAGTCCAACTGCCCTGGGGCTGCCTGCTGTGCTCCTCAGGGACAGCTCCCATTGTGACCTGTCCGCTGTGATGTCACAGCCACCAGAGACACATCAGCCGGCCCACAAGCCCCGCCCTTCATCCCCACCCCCCTGCTCAGGGCCTTCTGGGCATCCTCTCTAACACTCAGTGCCAAGTCCTCCTCGGGAGATCCCGGGGGGTCTCTTGGCCAAACGGACAAAGCCCCAGAGCCACCACAGAGAGCCCCGAGCCCCCCGAGACGGCCCCACTGGCACAACTGCGCCTGGCCCCACGGGGCTTCCGTCTCTTGCTTTGGCTTACAAAGTCCCCTGGCCATTTGCCCATTCTCCCATCCAGCCCAGCCCAGCCCAGCTCAGCCCAGCTGTGGAAGTGAGCAAGGAGCTGCAACCATCACAGACCAAAGATTTCCCTGACTGGCAGAATCAGAAGGGGACTGTGAGTTGGAAAGGAGCCTTGAGATGGCACTAAGCTTGGCTTAGCTTGAGCCTGGTCTTCTGGAGGCTAAAGTTTGGCGTGTGCCTCGGCAATAGCAAATAAACCTCGCCAATGGGCAGAGACTCGGACTTGCCTGTTCTCTTTATTCCTAAGGCCGAGCGGCCTTGCAGAAGGAAAGGCTTTGCGTAAGACAGAAGACAGTGCCTCAGGGATACTGTGGGCTGTGGAGATGGGAGGTGCAGCTCTAGCTTGAGCTCCCAGGCGGAAGTTTACCTGTCACCTCGAGAGCTCACTTGCAGACCCTGAAAGTCCTGACGGGACAGAGCAGGCCTACAGCAGGCCTTCCTCTGCTCCACCTGGTTGGCTTTGAATTGCTCCGGCCGGGTGGACGGTAGAGCTCCTAGACAAACGTCATGGCTTTCCCAGGCCTGCCACAGAGGTGGGCTTAGGAGAAGTTTCTGGTTTTGCTGATTGGTTTTGCTCAGAAAGAACGAGCTCCCACAGAGAGACACGGGGCGAGACTCTGCATGGATCAGCCCGGCGAGAGCAATCTTGCCAGCGCCTCCAGACAGACACGGGAGCTTGCGGAGAGAGGCTGTGACCCGAGTCCGGTTGGGGACTGTGCGGCTCCAAGGTCCTCTGCAGATACCAAAGCTTTGGCAACAGAATCCAAGTCCCTTGAATTTGACAGAGCCGGGATGCTTCCCTCTGAGCAGCCGGGGCACAGCATCTAAGGCAGCAAGCGGGTGGGGCAGTGCTGCTGCCACTGTCCGGGTGGACTGGCTCCCTGGGCACCGCGCATGCTTTTGCTGTGGCTTGCGCGGCGCGAGCAGGGTCAGGAAGGCAGAGGAGATGAAAGCTCCCTCTGCTCTCCCCAGGCTGTGTGTGAAGCCAGTGCTGCAGCTGGGTGGGAACAACGGGCGCAGCGGAACAGTGGGCGCAGAGGAGCCCATCCTGTGGGTGCCCCGTGCGTGTCTGGAGGACTTGTGCTGCACTCTCTGCCAAGATGGGCTTCTCGAGTTGCTGCCTTTCAGGTGTCTTCCACCACCCCCAAGGCCTTCTCCAAGAGGGAAAGCACTGGACATGGGCTTTGGGTTTCGGCCTTGCGCTCCGGCCGCACCAGAGCGGTTTGTCCCTCCCCAGTGCGGGTGGGCAATCCCTGCCTCCCAAGCTATGCGGGCCGGGGAGATCCTTGTAGAATTACCACGCAAATAGTCGTGTGTGATCGTCTCTTTCTTTTATTTCTGCTCTGGGCGCAGTAGATCCCGAGCAGCTGCGCCGTGTCTGCACCTGAGAACGTTCCCCGTGCAGTTGCTGCTCTGCTGCTGCCTTCGGTCTCAAGGCTCCACGGGCTGTTCTGAGCCTGACGGCTTGTCCTGCTGCCCCAGGAGTGCTGGAGCAGCCGCCTTGAGAGGGCCTTTGACAGCAGCAGGACGCCACGTGCCTCAGGACTGAGGCACCTTGTGGGCGATGCCCTGCTGGCTGAACGCTTGAAGGTCCAGCCAGAAGGACCGGGACCTTTCTCTCACACTAGTCCAGGTTTCTCCCTTTCCTAGGTGCTTTCCCCTGGGCCTTTGCACACTGTTCCGTTCTGTCTTTCTGGTGCACACCGCCCAAGGTCATGTCCAGCTTAGAAACTGGGCGAGGGAGCTGGAAGGGGGGCCCACCTGGGTTCCGCAAGGGGGGTGTGGCATGGCTCAGCTGTGGGGGAGCCGCTCTATTGGGCACCACTTGTCTGGGCTTTTTCCAAGTAGAGTTACTGAACTCTACTTGGCTTTTTGCTGGAAACCTTTCTAAAAGTTTTGGGGTTGAGTTTTTTAAAACTAAATTGTTAGTCCTAAACTTATCTATTTTTCCCTTATAATTATTAAACTTAACTAAAGTTATACTTAAAGCTATTATGGAACTAGGGTGGCGGGGAAGGGAAGGGGCTTGAGGGGGTGGCTGCTGGGGCTTCATTTCCAGCTGGGATTAAAGCAGGACTGGGGACATGGGGAGCTGGAGGTTAACCTTATCTAACTTTCCATTTAGAGTTTTATAAAACTAAATTCTTATTAAACTGATCTATTGTTAAACTAGCTATTATTCTTATGATTCTTATTATTCTACTTAGGAACTAAACTTACTTAACTGACTTATTAAACTTAATCCTAAACCTATTCTAGAGGGTAGTCCTAAAGTTAATCTTTGTCAACTTCTGTTGACCAAGTTGGAATTTGGATTCTCGTCCCCATTCCACCAGGGTGGCGGGGAACGGAAGGCAGTTGAGGGAGTGGCTGCTGGTGCTCCATTTGCAGCTGGGCTTAAGGCAGAGCAGGGCACATGGGGAGTTGGGAGTAGACAGAGCCAGGACTGCTGCTCTTCAGTCCAGTCAGCACAAGGGTCTGTTGTGCCGTGCCGACTGGGTGCGCTCCCAAGTCGCCGCGCAGCCCCGGCCCAAAGCAGCCCCCGGGAAAGCTGCGCCTGCCTATTCCAGGACCAGGAAGGTGCCCGGGCGGCCCTGCTGCAGTGCCAAGAGCAGCACAGCGCAGAGCCGCACCTGGCCGGGGCCGGTCAGCAGGAGCCTGCAGGAGCGGGAGGAGGGCAGCAGCCGGAGCTGCCAGTCGTGCCACTGAGGCAAACGCTCCCAGGCCGATTCCACCAGTCTGGGCAGCCAGCCGGCGACCTTCTGCACCTCCAAGTGGGAGTCTGTGCAGAGGGTGCGCACGAGGGGCGAGTGCTGATGGTTGTAGGTGGGGTGGACAAAGCAGAAGATGTTCCCCGCCGTCCTGGAACACGAGCACTCCAGCAGCACACGGATGGAGTGTGGCACGTCCATGGCCTCGGGCAGCTGCAGCCGGAAAGAGTGCCAGGGGGGTGGCCTGAGGAAGAGCACCAGCTGGTAGACGGTGCAGTCCCCCAGCTCACGCCAGGACTCCATGCAGGTGCCCTGCTGCCCAGTGGCCAGGTGCAGCTCTGGCATGAAGGTGTTCTGGGACAGCACTTGGCACACCTCCAGGAGGTCCCGCAGCAGCTTCTTCAGGGTCCGGCCCATGAAGGGCAGGTCCTGCAGCGGTGACAGGCTGAGCGCTGCAAAAGGCCCGCCAGCAGCGGCTGCTGCGCTGAGCTCTTCTTGCTCACGGCGCCGGCGAGAGGCCTCCTCCCTTTGCCAGGCCAGCCAGCCCAGCCCAGCTGCTGCAGCCAGCCAGAAGAGCCAGTGCTGCAAGATCCAAAGGAGTGGAACATCTTCCAGGGCCCTCCTCCACTCGACTTCCTCCCACAGCTCCGTCATCTGGTCCTCTAGAAAAATCTGCCGTTTCTTCATCCACTGCACAGCGACCGCATCGCTCTGGGGATCCTGTGTCCGCTTGGGCAGGATGGCCAGCACAGCCAGGAGGAGCACAGTTGCTGAATCCATGGCCTGCAGGAGATGAGAGACAAGTTTCTCCAGCGGCTCGGGGTGGGAGGGAGCACGGGGATCAAGGCTTGAAGGGAACGCAGCCCCTGGCTGCAGACGGCACAGGGCCCACCCTGCCCCAGCCGGGACCCTCCTTGTCAGGCCCTGGCTGGGCTGTGCCCCGGCAAAAGGCAAGAGACAGCCGAGCAGAGTCTCCCCTGGCCCCATCCCTGCCACACCACAGCGTCCCCTGGAGCCGGGGGCAGCCGGCCCATCCCCAAAGGCTCTTTGGGCACTTGCCAACACAGAGAGCCCTGAGCACCTGTGTGCCAGGCCCCAGGGGCACAACTCGGCCCTGCCGGGAGGGACTCAGCTTTGGCTCAGGGTTACAACCACCCCCCCTGGGCATCTTCCCCCTCCCCCATCCATCCCAGCCTTCCCCCTGCATCTGCACTCACTGATCGCCCAAGTCCAACTGCCCTGGGGCTGCCTGCTGTGCTCCTTAGGGACAGCTCCCATTGTGACCTGTCCGCTGTGATGTCACAGCCACCAGAGACACATCAGCCGGCCCACAAGCCCCGCCCTTCATCCCCACCCCCCTGCTCAGGGCCTTCTGGGCATCCTCTCTAACACTCAGTGCCAAGTCCTCCTCGGGAGATCCCGGGGGGTCTCTTGGCCAAACGGACAAAGCCCCAGAGCCACCACAGAGAGCCCCGAGCCCCCCGAGACGGCCCCACTGGCACAACTGCGCCTGGCCCCACGGGGCTTCCGTCTCTTGCTTTGGCTTACAAAGTCCCCTGGCCATTTGCCCATTCTCCCATCCAGCCCAGCCCAGCCCAGCTCAGCCCAGCTGTGGAAGTGAGCAAGGAGCTGCAACCATCACAGACCAAAGATTTCCCTGGCTGGCAGAATCAGAAGGGGACTGTGAGTTGGAAAGGAGCCTTGAGATGGCACTAAGCTTGGCTTAGCTTGAGCCTGGTCTTCTGGAGGCTAAAGTTTGGCGTGTGCCTCGGCAATAGCAAATAAACCTCGCCAATGGGCAGAGACTCGGACTTGCCTGTTCTCTTTATTCCTAAGGCCGAGCGGCCTTGCAGAAGGAAAGGCTTTGCGTAAGACAGAAGACAGTGCCTCAGGGATACTGTGGGCTGTGGAGATGGGAGGTGCAGCTCTAGCTTGAGCTC